TGTATAATAATATATCATATTGCTTAAGGTGTTAAATAGGGTAAAGCCAAGTTAAGACTTTTTTTAGATATTTAAGCCTTTAGTGGAACTCTACACCAGAACACCATGTGTTTGTGTGGCCAATATTTGCATGCCTACTTTGTCACAGAACACTGGTGGAATAGAGCTATAAAAGCAGCAGTCATGGGATTATAATATTTCAAACATTTTAAAATAATGACACATTGTATTAGCTCCAAACATACAACTTCACAATAGGATAGGGCTTACCGGTACTCCCAATTTATGAAGTACTTGCGATATCTAAAAAATGTTATTATGACTTACCATGGAGAAGACTTCTGAAAAGTTATTGAAACGAGATAAAACTTTAGCAATAATAGACTGTAGCTGTCCGTAATAGTCTTCAAAAGCTCTGTCAGGTGACATATGTTTTATTATATCACCCAGTATTGTGTTGACTTCACGTTTCTATAGCAACAAATGATTTCACAGATTATTAATGATTTGGAATGATAATTGAAATTTCTTTCACTACACCACCAATGAAGTGTACCCCTTAAAATTTAAATTAAATAATCTACAAAAATCTGAGATAATCACTTTTATGCACATAAAAATGATTCAAAATAAGCTGTAAACAGTAAATTAACAAATCGCAAGTTACCACGAATGGAAATGTTACGAAAGCAATCTGACTTACAACAGAGTAAAATTGCTCAACTTTTTCACCACCAGACTTTTTTACCCAAATTTTTCTGTTCTTTTTTCCTTATATTTTTCAATATTTCTGGAAATGAACCCTTTTGGAGCCAACAGACAAAATTTCAGTCAATTTTCAGTTTTTAATCAAAAAAAATTGACTACATTTTGTCCCTATCTTCTGAAGAAAGTGTAGACGATAAATGGAACTAATTTGTGATGAAAAGTAGAAACTGGTGGTGGTTAATGCAGCAAACATTGCACAGAACACCAGTATAGATTACTTACAGTGAAATGTGTACAGGGATATTCTATCCAAACTTCAGCACAACTTATATAATCCTACAATAAAAATCATGTATAAGTAACCTTTTTGCATAACTAGGTTATAAATCATATTGGAGATATGCAAGATGTAAGACAGCCATGGGTGTCTACTGAGAGTCATGTATGCAAACTTACCGCAGGGTTTTTAAGTTTCATAACAACTTTCCAAACTTCATTTAAGACATTTAATCTTTGATCTTGAGGTGGATCAGCCATAACCAGATTAACACCCATAGATTTGTATAAATTATGCTGGAATCAATCACAATATCAACAAAATTTAAAATTGATCAAATAATGTATTTTATGGCTAGATATTTGTATGAGACCTAAAATACAGCTTTGCCATAGCAACAAAAGATATGTCAATTGACGTAGTTTGGTGTAAGGAATGTCATCAAATCGGCAACTGTTAAATTGCATTGTCGTAATTTTGAATATTGATCAAAACATTTTTCATCGATGGATAACAGACATTGAAACAATATCATCATGGTGAAACCTATACACTGTGTATGACATCACAGTGGTGCCAAATCATCCGAAGGTATGAATTAAAGGGACAGTGTTCAATCTACAACACAGAACCATAATCATACATATAAAGTTTTATACAAACATGATAGACTTAAGAATGATAATCTAGCAAAGATCGTGCCAGATTTGAATTAAATCAGTCTAATTTTGAAACACCACAATCTAGGACATCATTCATAGTCGCTATGACAAATTAATTGTAGTCTCACCTTTGGAAAACCTGATTCTTCACAATCTTTTATCATTTCTATAAAATTCATAGCTCTGCTTGCGATATAATCAGGTTTAAATGCTGACATGATAGAATTTAACAGCAATGCACTGAAAAACATTAACATTATTATAAAGTATTGGCACATTGAAATTTACCAGATTTACCATAACACAGTCAAATGTACGAGAGGAGTTTTGGAAATTAACCTATTACTAAAGGGACAAACTGCCAATGAAAATCTGAAAGCTCCAGGTCCTACCAAATTTAGGCAAAGCTGGTCCTGACTAATGCAAATCGCTATGGCAACCAGCATGTTATGTATTCACCAATATCCAATATTTTTATTGCCACTTTTTTCTCTCCAATATTTGCAGGTATCAACAGAAGTGAGTTGTATCAACAAAGAAGTTTATGTCACTTTAGTCATTTGACTACATTTACCATTGACTTGGTCTCCACTGTCATCGCTTTCATGCGTGTACATAAAATATAATTAGTGCACTTTTTAAAAATTACATACTAATGTTTTTCATTTTCTACTGGAGATAATTCCCAATCAATCCATTAACATTTGTACTTCTACTAAATGTCTGTGTGTCTAGTGGAAGGTACAAGCCATGCCATCCATGTCAGGGAAGTACACATTCTTTGATATGGGATGTTTGAATGGACAAACCTGTCCAACTTTGATTGAAAATTCTCAGTTATTACAAAATAACTATAAATAATCAACAAAAAATGCAAATTTCAATATAGATTGTCTGTGTGTCTTTATAGTTTTGTACTCTTGCATATCCATGACAACAACTGAATGAACATTCCACAAAATCACAAGAATATACTGAAAATAAGAATTCAAAATAAACAGATTATAACAATTTGATTGAAACTCGCACAAACATGGTTACAAAGACAAAGAGGTTACAGACAGTAAATTTCAGTTATGATTCCAAAAATCAATTCTAATTGACTCACCGATCACCAGAACTGTAATCAATGAAGGCAGAAATTAAAGCAAAATGTAAAAAAAAATTATAAACTGTAATAAAACAACTCAAAGACTGAAATAAATTTGTACTCTAATGGTGATGACAGATACCTTTTTTTTTTCTACTATTTTGCACCAAATTTTCTTTTTATTGAACTTTGAATAATAGCCATACCAAGTGTCTGGAAAACACAGTTTTCAACATCCCAGCAAAGTAATCCATACATGACCAATGATGTGTATTTAGGTATATTAATTTTCAATCTCTCTATGTACAATGAATTGCAGAAATGCTGTATTTTGATTAAATTTTAACTTTTAGATACATGGCTTAGATACATTTGATACAGGCTCATGGACGCACAGGGTCAAATGTGAGTTCCCATTTTCAGAATTTGTTTGAAAAGGAACTAATAATACTATAATAATAATAATAATAATAATAATAATAATAATATCAGAGCTTTCTTGTTAGTAATATCATAATTGTTTTGAAATTATAAAATCTGGGAAAAGTTATCAATGGTACATGAAGTGCGACTTTACAGAAAGACTATTAATGGACTTGTCACATGACTGTGGTTATGTTAAAAGTGGCCATGGTTCTGTTTCTGTACATAACTGTCAATGCCTCTCAGTGAAGTATTTACCTGTTGCACTGTTTCTTACATTTGGATAAAATCTCTGTCAGTGTAGTCTATGGTAAAATAAAAAAAAACATGTTAAAACTTGTAAATAACAGTGGTGTAAATAACAGTGGTGTAAATAACAGTGGTGTAAATAACAGTGGTGTAAATAACAGTGGTGTAAATAACAGTGGTGTAAATAACAGTGGTGTAAATAACAGAAATGAATTCCCTATTTGCACCACAGCGGTGTAAATAACAGTGGTGTAAATAACAGTGGTGTAAATAACAGTGGTGTAAATAACAGTGGTGTAAATAACAGTGGTGTAAATAACAGTGGTGTAAATAACAGAAATGAATTCCCTATTTGCACCACAGCGGTGTAAATAACAGTGGTGTAAATAACAGTGGTGTAAATAACAGTGGTGTAAATAACAGTGGTGTAAATAACAGTGGTGTAAATAACAGTGGTGTAAATAACAGTGATGTAAATAACAGTGGTGTAAATAACAGAAATGAATTCCCTATTTGCACCACAGCGGTGTAAATAACAGTGGTGTAAATAACAGTGGTGTAAATAACAGTGGTGTAAATAACAGTGGTGTAAATAACAGTGGTGTAAATAACAGTGGTGTAAATAACAGTGGTGTAAATAACAGTGGTGTAAATAACAGTGGTGTAAATAACAGTGGTGTAAATAACAAAAATGAATTCCTTATTTGCACCACAGTGGTGTAAATAACAGTGGTGTAAATAACAGTGGTGTAAATAACAGTGGTGTAAATAACAGTGGTGTAAATAACAGTGGTGTAAATAACAGTGGTGTAAATAACAAAAATGAATTCCTTATTTGCACCACAGTGGTGTAAATAACAGTGGTGTAAATAACAGAAATGAATTCTTTATTTGCACTACAGTGGTGTAAATAACAGTGGTGTAAATAACAGTGGTGTAAATAACAGTGGTGTAAATAACAGAAATGAATTCTTTATTTGCACTACAGTGGTGTAAATAACAGTGGTGTAAATAACAGTGGTGTAAATAACAGTGGTGTAAATAACAGTGGTGAAATTAAAAGAAATGAATTCACTATTCGTACCGCAGTGGTGTAAACAAGCGATCTGACAGTCGAAATAGCTCCGCTGTCCTACAAGAACATTGTGGTAGCCAAGTCGAGCAACTCACACCCATAAGACTACTTGAAAACTGCCAGCTCAATTTGATACCTAGTATCAAAGCAATTGAGCTGGTAGTTTTCAAAATGAAGCTGAAAACAGCATTTTTCACCAAAAATTACAAAAATCTTTGCCAAAAATAGAGAATTGTTAGATACTGTCACAAAATGACCATACACAATGTAATGCACCATGTGTCATAATGCACTACAGGGTTTGGAGGTTTAAATGACAAATCCAAGTAGTACGTTGCTCATTGAAATTCATTTGATTGAATAGATTTGTTATATGCACTGCCGTGGTGTTTATAGCCACTTCGTTAACATAGAGGTGCCAAATAATCAACTTTTGATTAGACTTTATTTCCATTTTCTGTCCAGCATGTACATGTATATAGTGGTCCCCCATAGCATTATATTGGATTGGAGAAGGGTCTAGACATGATAATTCGTTCACTTCACACGTTATGCAATACACCCTTCTTCTCATCCGATATAGCACTGTGGAGACTCATTATTGTCTGAATAAGCAATCTATTAGTACTCACATCTGACACTTTGTAGGCTATACATTGTAATAACCAATCTAATGCTGGTGAATACAGCAATAAATATGTAGACATATCTAATCTTTGAACAGCTAATAAATTCTGCACACTGTCTCCTTGTAACTGTAAGTAAAAACGTGAGTATTAGTCAGTATATTCATAGTAACTATGACCCAACTATTCTGGACATTTTGTTTTCAAAAACTGATATAAATTAGTAATTTCATTTTGAAACCTTCATATATAGTGCTAATTAATTTTTAAAAAAACTAGATTTTGTTGTATTGACAGAAGCCAAAGAATATGATGTGATGCCTTTAGTTGTAATTGTTCAATTCTATATAATAATGATTAAACAAGTCAATTACAAATGGCATACATGTAGTATTAAGAAAGTAAGGATGTGCCTTGACATTTTGAAATCATATTGAGTCACTAAGTGAAAAAAACAAAATGACCACCAATCTGTCATTTTGAATCAGAACTCGAAAAAATATTGAGTCACTAACATTCAGTTGCAAACCAATATGTATTGTCATGGTACCAAGTTTTATTGAAAGTTGCAGTTGTGGATACATTTGAGTATTAAGATTTACCCCTATTTCACATGTAAATGGTTGCCAGTCAGCCATATCTGATCTGATCAAAAACTAAATTGACAGACATAACTATAGCATCATGTCTTGATTTTGTACCAAGTTTGACAATCTTACAATAATACAGGTGTGAGATTACCATAACAAACAGCCTTGGAAGGCAAATATCAGATCTACATTTTATTTTTAATTCATTTTAAAGACAAGATGTAGTATAATGAAACTTACCTGTGAATAAGTTGACAAAAAATCATAGAAATTATTTATCAAGTGTTCCTTAGATTCTGGGGCTACACTCATACCAACCTGCAAACAGACAACATGACTGAGTTACAAATAAAGTATTCATTATGTGACCAAATTACACAAACTACCTAACTCCTGAATAGCACCTTGAAAATAACAAAATAAATTTGAATGCTATAAAATCAGTCAATGGTTAAATTAAAAGAATTTAATCATTCTAGAAATATGTGCACTTTCAAGAGTGAGTTTGATTCCCTGTTTCAAAGACTTCTGTGAAATGATGACTATAGCCACACATTTCACAAAAGTGAATGTGACTCCTGGTCTCAAGCACTGTAATTACCAGGCTACAAATGTTGCAAAAGGAGTGTGACTCCACTTTTCAAAGACCCAAGTTGAAAGAAGTGTTCACTCTAGGTAACAAAATTTACAAGAGTGAGTGCAGCACCCTGTCTATGATTTTCAGTAAAATGTTTCATTAATTCATTATACAGTTACAAATCAATGATTGATGATGTATATTTAATTTAAAGACAACTTACTCTACACAGATATGTTCTGGCATAGATTGCAACAAGTGGATCACCAATCCCACGCATTTGGTTTGCAAGTCTCAATAAGGCTTGGGAGTACTCTCTTTGAAGAAAACATTTCACATGGAAATATCATATAAGTATCATTGTGTATTTGAGTGATGCAGACCATTGAAACATAACTGGGTAATACTACCATTGTAGGTTATATATTACATGAACATTCTGACATGTATTGTTATATTTATATTCATAAATATAACAATACATCATAGTGTTTCTTGGTACTGCATATCGCATGATCTAATTGTATAGCATTACAATGGTCTCAAATATAGAGTACACATTTCTACAGTCAGTTGGCGTCTGTGATTGGCTAAAAAATATAGGACGTTGCTAATTTGAATATGCTAATTTTTCAAACTATGAATGACAGTAGTTCAGCAATAAAGTGTGACTGCCCAATTCTTCAAAGTTGCAATAAATTTTCATGGGTATGTACAAAAATTAGCAGCCAATCAAGACAATAGTAGAAAGTGGGTAACCATGGAAACAGTGTTTGGGTAGCCAGGTACCCAGGGTACATCAATGATAAACGGTCATACTGTAAAATGATTTTATTTTGCAAGAAACAAATTCAGTAAACTTTGAATCAGAAATTTTTTAGCAAGGATTATTGTAAAATTTTGCCATCAAATTATCAAAACGTGAACAATTTCTAGCAACAAAAGTTAAGTGAATCACAGTATACTATGACACTGGTAGGTATACACCGCTTTATATGAGAATTTTCATGTCAGGAAAAATAACAAAATTTTGTTATTATGATCCTTACAACATATCATATCAAATGATGTAAAATTATCAAATCAAAATTTGTAGCAATGAAAATTAAATGATTTGCAATATGACAATAAAGCATTGAAAATTGACACTCACCCAGTTGTCAGATAACTGTAACATTTGAGAATGGCAGCTTCTACATATCTTATTTAATGTTAAGAAAACAAATTGTGGACTGAATCTGAATTAGTAGAGACTGTAAAATACTTCATTTTAGTTGGAATTAATTTTCGCTGAAAAGACTTTTTGGGTGTTTTGTATGGAATTTATTTTCACTGATTTTTAAAAAGTTGAATGTAAAATATAGGAAAAATGGTATATTCGCTGGAATTTATTTTCACTGAACAATTCCTTCAGCAAAAATAGCGAAAATTATTTCCAAGCACAAATGAAGTATTTTACAGTACTGTATACATCGTCAGTTAACCCTTATCTGGTCAATTTAATTTAAAGTACATGGGGCTGTCAGGATAAGGGTTAATGTGTCAAGATAATCACCGTATATACATGTACATATTACTGAGGTACAAATGAATGAATGAAATTTGACCAGATTGTATCTGGGTTTGATAATATATGACAAAACTATCAAAGCAATTATGTAATTTTCAAGAAGTTGATAATATCATTCAATAAAAAATGACTTTACAACCCTATTCAACTGGATGCCATTCTCACATCTACCATGAACCTTGCAAGAAGGCAGTATGTACTGCTGAGTAGATAACCAACCCCACAGGAAGTCAAACCTACAATCTCACTGATACTGAGTATACAAGCTAACCAATTAATGTGCAACACATCAAGTCCAATTTTAATTTCCATTAAAAATTGTAATCATATCTTTACAAGGATACAATCTTGGTATGAGTTCTCTGATAGAAGCTATTTTGAAGAACCAATTCCTACATGTCTCTTTGGCAGAGTCAGGTACTTGATCTGGTGTAAAATGTTTGGGCAGTGTTGTGGCAGTTCTACTCCCTGGTGGGAAGTACGTTGACTTCTGATGAATACGTTCATATACCAAGTGACCTGCAATCACACAAAACAAGCACAATATAGAAAACAAACCTGAGCAAAATAAAAATACCCAGGATTGATCTAAATTTAAATATGTTGATGTAGGAATAGCCCATGCAGTGTCACCACATTTTATTTTTTTAAATTATAATGGTCACCCACTCTGTAATGACAACTGGTTGGGAAATTCATTTATTAATTATTTGCCGAAAATATTTGACATATTCAATGTTGAAAGCAAAACATTTATTAACATAAACCAAATTAGAAATGTTTCTAAACCGATTTATTTCTCTCAATATACTGAGAGATTTGAAATACTCACCAAAGGTATCCAATATGTCTGTAATTAGTACAAATTTACTTGGATAAACTGTATCACTGAAGTGTCAGCAAGCAACTTGGCACACTGAAAAAGACATTTGATATTTGATTATGAATGATGTTACTTTTTCTACTAGTCAATAGTTTTGCTCAAAGC